AATGAGTGAATGAGTCAAAAGCCACAATTACAGGTTCATAAAAATTCTGCACATCTTCCTCAGGATAATCTGTTTCTGTACAAAGATTTACAGATGTCAAATGCACATAGATTTTCTTTAATGGGCTACAGAGTTTAGGGGCTCTGCTCGAATATTCCCCAGATCAAGTGCAGAATCTGTTTCTTCATCAATTTCTCCAATGACTGCACTGTAAGAAAACATTTAAAAAAAATTGGTTAAAACAATCTCATTTCAAAATAGATCCACATTTCAAAAATCTTACTAATCAATGCAAAAACACCACTATTCTGAAAAGCACCCAATAAAACCCAGAAGATTGCTTAAAGTAGAAATAGTAATTTTAACTTTCTCAAAGCAGTAAGTCTCACAAAAACAGAATACTACAAAATAGTCTATAATATTATAATAAATGGATAATATTATAATAAATGGCTCATTTAAGTCTTTATAAAAAAATACATACATGAGACAAACATGATAGAAAACTAAAACTTTCAAAGCTATGATTTTAATTCTGAACTGAACTGATATTTTAACAAGAAAATAAATAACTAAAATTACATAACTGTTAAAATAATAAAGCCTCATTGCCATTGAGCTGGAACCAATCACAGCTGGCCCTCTGGGTTTCTGAGGCACAAGTCCCGGGTGAGGAGACTGTGCATTGCCCGCCCATAAAGTAGCTGATGGACCTGAAGGTGGGGGTGCTGCCCTTGGGGTTAGCAGAGTAACTCCCTAAAGCCTAGGTAATTGAATAATTTCAATGAACGAATTTAATCACTGGTATACAATGTATGTCTGAACGTATGCATCCCAGGCTTGAAACAGCTTCGGCCACCTAAACCCAGGCAGCATGCTAATGAGCAAAGGACTGAAAGCGACCCCTGCCCCTAGTGGAAGGAGAGCATCACCACCAACAGGTGTCTCCTTGCCCAACAGGGGTTTTAATGGCACAAGATTTAATAGCTAATGATTTTTCAATTTCTATACTTAAAATCTTTTAAGACCATGTACCAATAAATAATGGCAGTAAATACAGTTAAGTATCTAACAAATGATTTTTTTATGAGAAAGCAGCAGAATGCTCCCAGATGGGCGCTTTTGGGTGGTGAGAGCCAATGGGAACACCTGATTATGGAGGAATGTGAAATGATGGAGCTCATGGGAGTTTAAGCCATGCCTTGGTTGGAAATTGAGGAAGCAGCAGAATGCTCCTAGACAGGTGGTGTTTGGTTCAGGTCTTTCGTTCATAATGTCGCTATGAGTCATCTACAACTTGATGGCACTTAATAACAACAAAACAGAGATCTCAGTGGATTTAGTGGACAGAAAGTGATGCTAACGGTGGGTGATTTTAGTTTAGGGCCCTCAGGACGGGTTTTAACTGTTTTTGGTCAAACAGTCTTCTCAGTGGGATAGCACTGGTCCATTTGCTGCATGGAGGTAACTAGTCGTTGCTGTGATGCTGAACACTGTGACACTGGTGTGTCAAATGAGATAAGGGTTATCCATGGTGGACAGTGTTTAGTGGAGCTCTCTGGTTAAAACAAGTTTGGAAGCAGGAGTGGCATCCACTTCCAAAATAGCTTGCCTCTGGAAACCCTATGAACTTGGAGAAATGAAGAAAGTTATACAAGTGTTCAGGCCTTTCATTCACAGGGTCGTTGTAAGTTGTCTACAACTTGACAGCACTTAACAACAACAGACTTAGATCAAGAAGTTTTTCCTGAATTTAATGTCAAAACACTTACAAAACTCTCTATAAATAGAGAAAGATACACACATATATACTGTATCTCAATCTTACCATGTTAGGTAACCAACTCATAGTCTTCTAGGTGGTTATTGTCAATGTCATCATCTACCACTACTTATTGTTATCGAGTTAAAACCAAGTCAGAGTTGACCCTCCAGCAGGTTTTCTGGTTGTAAATAGCACAGGAAGATCTTTATCCCAGAAAACTGATGGATTCAATCTGCGTACCTTAGAGCCAGCAGTGCAACTCCTAACCACTAAGCCACCAGACCTGGCTAGGAGTGGCTAGTGGATGTGAATTGTCAGAGGTGTGGCCTCTGCATTAGCAACAGTCTACAGACTATACCAACAGCTCCACTGTTGTTAGGTGCTATCAACTAGGACTCATGGCAACCTTACGAACAACAGATCTGAACTCTGCCCTATCCTGTGCCTTCCTCATCACCTCTGATACAAAGTCACTGTGTCAATCTATCTCTTTGAGGGTCTTCCTCTCCTATGCTGACTGTACACCTTTCCAAGCATGTCTTTCTCCAAGCTTTCTTATGAAACATTATGCCATTAAAAAAAAAAAAAAAACACAAAACTGACTGTAATTTATTAGGTGTCAACTGTTTTATTTTAACCAAAATTCCTCTTAAAGAAAATAAATGTATTACAAAATTTGTCCAATTTTGCTTTAAACTATACAGTCTTCAGTTCTGTAATAAACGGCAAGTACCAAACTCTTTGAAACTCTCACAGACACACACACACTCTTCACCCCTGCTCTCCTCCAACATAAAAGAAGTTAAAGAACTTGATTTCACCCTTTAAAAAGATGAATGATTATATGTCATTTATAATATTATATTTATTATAATTGAAAATTATGATGGTAGGCAGTGGAGAGGTAAAGGATTAAAAACTGGGTTGGCAGAGAAAATAGGCCATTTACTAGTTTTCACAGTGCAATCTCTCCTTCCACCACCTAGTTCAAGCCAAGCTACTAGTAAGAAATCAACCAGTTTGCAAAACACTTGATAATGTACAAACTCTTTTGAATTAACATAAACTAGTTCCAGAAAAATCACAAATTATGGGCCAAATGGTAATTTGCTTTTTTCCTTTGTTTGTAGCCCATCTCATTGCTTTACCTAAAAATAATCTCTATAGAACTGTTTATAAAACACTGATTCAAGATCATATAAGCACATTAAACAATCTAAGGTACTCCAGATTGATCCTGGAAAGGGTTAAACCGGGCGGGCTCCTTGGAGGCAAGGATTCTGAGGCTCCGTCTAACATACTTTGGACATGTTGTAAGGAGGGACCGGTCCTTGGAGGACATCATGCTTGGGAGGGTGGAGGGACAGCGCAGGAGGGGAAGGCCCTCTATGAGGTGAATTGATCCAGTGACTGGGGTAATCAGGATGGGAGTGTCAGAGACACTGCGATTGGCACAGGACAGAGCAGAATTTAGGGCTATTGTACATAGGGTCTCTATGAGTCGCAAGTGACTCGACGGCACATAACAACAACAGCAGCAACAACTACTGTTCCGCAAACAACGTGACACTGGTAGTATTTGTTTTGCTATTGTTTGGCCATATTTCGATTCCATATAGTACCTACTAGAAAAATTATTCAATATTCTGCTGGACTAATAACCAAAAGCATTTCCTAATATTCTAGCTATTAACCACATATCACTATAAAAATCAGTTGCAAATAATTAAAATGAAAAATTCAGTTCCCTAGAGAAATCAGCCACTTTCCAAGTATTTAGTATTTATACCTGGCTAGTATTCCAGTTACTACACTGGAATTTTTCTAACAATACAAATACAGACTTATTTATGTTATAGAGCACAAGTTATTTAAAAAAAAAATTATAAAGATGGTTTTCAAATCCTAACTTTGGATTCTAGAGGTATATTTACATTACTCTGAAACCATCAGTATTTTGAAAGAACATTTAAGAAGCGTCTCTAATGAAGTATTTGAAAGAAAACAAACTATCCAGGCCACTTAATAATTAGGAATACACACAAACCTCAAAATACCAAGGTTTACTTTATAAAGAGTTAACTTTGGTGGTGGTGGTTGTTGTTGTTATGTGCCGTCGAGTCGTTTGCGACTCATAGCAACCATATGTACAACAGCCCTAAACCCTGCTCTATCCTGTGCCAATCACATGGCCTCTGACACACCCATACCAATTACCCCAGTCACTGAATCAATCCACCTCATGGACGGTCTTCCCCTTTTGCGCCATCCCTGCAGCCTCCCAAGCATGATGTCCCTCTCCAAGGACCTCTCCCTCCTTACAACATGTCCAAAGTATGTCAGACGAAGCTTCAGAATCCTTGCCTCTAAGGAGCAGCCTGGTTTAGCTTTTGAAAAAAAATTAACACAAAATACAAGAGATTTGACTTAAGCACATAATATAAAACACACACACAAAACATGTATAAATGGAAAAAAACAAAAGTAACAATAAAACCCACCAAACACTGTCAGAATTGATTCCAACTCGGAGAGACCCTCCACTGGGTTTTTGAGGGTATAAATCTTAATGGGAGGAGACTACCCATCTTTACCCAAGTAGCCACTGGTGGATTTGAATCCTTTCAGCTGTGTAACACGCTACAGTCTATACCACCAGAGTTCCTTATGGATGAAAGACTGTGCTATTTTTTTAGCTGACAGCAACGGCATTCACTTAGAACACAATTTTGATCAAGTGGGTATTTTACTTACACGTTGTCACCTCTCACAATGTATAATCCTAAAACCACTTGTTCTACTCCCTGTGAAGAGCTGAACACTCGCTCATGACTTTCATCCAAAATCAAATTAATGGTCTGGTCAAAACCTTTCAGAGTTCCCTGTGGAAAAACATTCAAGAGAAAAATATTGTGGCTTACTTAAACATATAATATTCAATAAAATATCATTTTAGCTGTTAAATAACCAAAGAGAAGTATCCATTTTAAGTATAAACCCATTGAAAAATACCATTTTATAATGAAAAGTATTTCAAGAATTAAGTCACATCTGTTTAAGTTGTTAGGTATCATCAGAAGAAAAAAAACACAACCAAAAACCCTGACACCACACATATGCCTTGACTTCACACATATGAGGCATATGCAGGGCTGCTGAGAGTTAAAAAGGATAATGGGTAAAAGTTCATGTAGTCTAGGAGATAACCTTTACAAGAACACACATTAAAATGAAATGTAAGGGTAAAGAATACAGAAGAGGAGATAATACATACCATCTATAGTAATGTAACAGCATCAGTGAATGCTCTGTGACAGGCACTAGCCTAAACACACTGCCACTTATGTCCATTTCAGAGAAGGAAAAATGAGGCACAAAGAGCTGACGTATTCTCTCAAGGTCTTCAAAGACTAAGTAACTGAGCTATGATCTAAACGCAACCAAAAAAGGTCAAGAGTCAGATCACCAAACCAGACATTGTATCGGTGGTGGTTGTTATGTGCCATTGAGCCACCTGTCACTCAGAGCAGCTCTATTCACAATAGCTCTGAACCCTGCCCTATCCTAAGCTAGTCTCTATGACTCTGACACACCTACCCCAATTACAGTGTCAGTCAATCTCATTCAGGGTCTTCCAATCCTGAACCGTACCTCTATTCTTCCAAGTATGATGTCCTTCTCCAAGGCCTGGTCCCTCCTGGTCACATGCCCAAAGTATGTAAGACAGAAATTTAAAATTCTTGACTCCAAGGAGCAGCTTGGTTTTACCCTCTCTAATTCAGACCTGTTTGGTATGTTCAAGATACTTCTCTAGCACCACAACTCACTGATTCTTCTACTGTCATCCTTTGTCACAGTCCAGCTCTCTGATGCATAGTAAGTAACTGAGAACACCATGGCCTAATTCAGTCACACCTTAGTCCCTAGACTGACATTATTATTCTTCAGCACTTTTGAGAGGTCCCTGACAGCAGACTTTCCCAATGTAATTGGTCTTTTTATTTCTTGACAGCTAGTGCCAAGATTGATTGTGGAGTTGAGCAAGCTGGAATTGTCAAGAACCTCAATCTCTTCTCTATCATGGTGCTGCCAACTGGTCCAGTGGTGAGAACATTTGTCTTACTGATGTTGAGCTTTAATCCATATCGAAGACTGTAGTCTTTCTACAGCAAACGCTTCAGGTCCTCCTCAGTTTCAGCAAGCAAGGTTATGTCATCCGCATAACCAAGTTATTGATGAGTCTTCTTCAAATACTGATGCCACATTCCGCCTCATAAAGCTCAGCCTCCCAAATGATCTGTTCCACGTACAGATTGAAAAGGTATAGAGACAGGGTGCATCCTTAACACTCCTTCACGACTCTGAACCATGCAGTTCTTCCCTGTGCTTTGTTCTGATGACTGCTTCCTGGTTCAACTACTGGTTTCACATGATCACAATCAAGTGTTCTAGGATCCCCATTCTTCTCAAGGTTAGCATAATTTTGTTGTGATCCCTAGAGTCAAATGTCCTTGCACAGTCAATGAACCACAGACATTTTTCTGGTACTCTGCTTTCAGCTAAGATGCAACTGACACTGGCAATAATGCCTCTAGTCCCATGGCCTCTTCTAAACCCAGCTTGTATTTCTGGTAGTTCTCTGTTGACGTACTGTTCCAGTCGTTTTTGGATAATCTTCAGCAGGATTTTGCTTGCGTGTGATACTAGTGATATTGTTTGATAATCTCCATGCTCTGTTGGGTCACCTTTTTTTGGATTATAGTGATATAAATGCCATAAATATAATACATATTTATAAACTACAATGATAGTATATAATGAGTACTTACTATTTTGCCAGTGTTCTAAGTTGCTCACCTGTACTAACTTACATTCTTTTCAAAAGCCATTAAGATAAACATTAATATAACTGTAATTATTGGAACCAGAACTTAATGGAAGTAATCAGAGGAAATGTTAAGGAAGAAGACTGATTGTAAATAAAGACACAGGAGTTGTACAACAGAGTAATGCATATCTTATCCAAGTTTCAGAAGACACATGAAGTTACACTGGCTTTAATTAAAACTCTTCATCTCACTATTAACATTGTTTCAAGGTCAGAAATAAAAATATATAAAATAGAATGAAATAAAGAAAAAAATGATTGCACAGAATGTGGAAGGGAAACAAAAAAATGGATTTTTTAGTAGTTAAGGGAGCCATCACAAAGATAACAAACAGCCACACATAACTTAACTAGTTTTACTATTAATTACTATTGCATCCTGAAGGAGCTCTGGTGACCTCGTGGGTAACAAGTTGCATTGTCAACACACACTTCAAGGCAGAACAATGTGCAATCTCCTCCTATATGATTTACAACCTCTGGCAACCTGATCGCCTCTGCCTTGACAGTGATGTGTCTTTTACTGCATAGAGTAAAACAAGGTTAAATATTAGACCACTGAACGTTAGTACTAACAACGCTCAGTATACCTTTCCTTCTATAAAACGGAAATGACTTTCTAATTCATTTTCTACTTTATTAACCACAAGCCAAGATTATAGCCTTGAAAGAAAAGATGGCAGATGGCATCAGGTTTGGAGTTAGACCCATGGCACTGATTGTGACAAAAGGATAAAAAAGAGTAAATAAATATGTTCATCACCTTTCCTGTTGTACAGAAAACAAAAATCATAGGAAATCTAAAAATATTCATAGCCCACAGGAGAAACAAGCCTTAAATGCTGACCATGCTATAAATACAGAGTATCTAAAGAGCTCTGGTGGCACAATGGTTAAAATTCTCCATTAAAGACTGAAAGGTGAGCAGTTTAAAGCCACTAATAGAGTCTTGAACAAACCATGGACCGCCAAAAAAGCAAATAGGTCTGTTTTGGAGAGGATGAAAAATGGTTTCTCCTTGGAGGCTAGGATTTTAAAGCTCTGTCTCACATACTTGGGGCACGTATAGCAAGGAGAGACTGGTCCTTGGAGAAGGACATCTTGCTTGGAAAGGTGGAGGGACAATGCAGGAGAGGAAGACCCCAGATGAGATGGATTGATACAGTGGCTGGGGCAACAGAGGTAGGTGTGTTGGAATTAGTGAGACTGGCTAAGGACAGGGCAGGCTTCAGAGCTGTTGGATATAGAGTTGCTATAGGTCTCAGGCGACTCGATGGCACATCATAACAAAAACAACAAGTAGCTCCCAGTAAATATTTACAGTCTGGGAAATTTGATGGAGCAGTTTAACCGTCATTAAAAAAACCAAAAACAATTAAAAAAAGCATGGCCAGAATTAATTGCAACTTACTGGGTTTCAGTTTCTGGAGTTTTAAATCATTAGGGAAAGAGACTGACCACCTTCTCCAAAAGGGGGAAGTGTTGCTGGTGGATTTGAACTGCCCACCTTCCAGTTAGCAGACTGACATGAGACGCACTATGCCCTCAGGAGTCCGAATGGATCACAGGATACAGGAACAAGGTTAGGTCTATTTAGACAGAATCCAAGTCATAAATGGTTTAATTTCTATATAAGCAGCATTAAAAAAAAAAAAAACAAACCAAAAAACAACCAAACTTATTCATGTTCAGCTGTCCACACCCTGAAATGGAAGGAAACGAAAGCTGATGATAAACAAATAGAAGACACTGCCATATAGACAGATACCTACAGACTAGACTAGAAGCTCCCTGATGGGAAGAACTTACCCATGCTGGGACGTCTAGTCCGTAACAAGCACTCATCACTCAATATTGAAGAAAATTTGGATCAGAGGCTATTTAAAAAGGACACGAGGGCAAAGAATCAAATGACAAGGAAACTAGTAATTAGAGAGCCAGGATGTTCCACATAACCATTATTTCACTACCAAGGGCTTACAAAAACATCGAGAATGGAAGTGTTCAATACTCACCACAATCATTCTTCCATCAGAAGTAATAACAGCAACAGTTCCTGATTAACTGAATCAAGGAAAGTATTTCTCATTCAAAACAAATGGAAATAAAGAGTTTGGTTAACAGAAAAATTCAGATTGCTAGGAAAAGGGTGACAAAATTAAGATCCAAGTATTCATTCAATATGGTAACTACATGCACAACCTTAAGGATTCAAGTCAGTGCTATTTGCGATAAAAACAGAAAACCCACATCCTTCGCTGAGAAGTCGTCCAAAAATGCTGGGATATATGGTACTCCTTTTCACTGGAAATTTTTATTCTGAACAAGACAGTACTTTCCTTTCTTGAGCTTTTTTCTTCATTTCTAAATTAAAAGGCGGATGCTTGCTAAAGAAAAGCTGAAACTATTTCAAGCTTTAAGACAATTTCCCAGGACCTGGATTCTGGCAAAGGAAGCACTAGTTAAATGGCTTATGATTCAACATAACTGCATCGTTAAAAGCCCCCTGCTCCCAAGATGAACAGAAACACACGATGTGGGCTTTCTTTAAACGGTTACTTTAGAATCTAATTCTTTGAGCTGTTTTACAACAATCCACCGGAACGAGGATGGAATTCATTCGATCAACGTGGAAGTAGAGGGCTCAAGAGGTAGAGATTAAATTCGTGGACCTAAAATTATTATGGATTGTGCGTAATCAATAGAGAAAAGTTTAGGATCATTACACTGGGTTTATTTTAAGCCCAAACTTTATAAATACACCCCGATCTCGCGGGGCGTCACCCCCGGGTCGGCGGGGACCCGCCACCAAGTGACCGCAGACCCCGCTCCCCGGCCCCGCCAGCTCGGAGCCGCCGCGGGACACACACGGGCCTCGCCGCGGCCGCCCTCCCAGGATACGGTTGATGTAGTTCTCCAAAGCGGACGTCATGGTGCTTCGCCCAGGAACTCCGGGGACGAGACAACTCCGGGAACAAAAGGAACCAAAAGGAGCCGCCAAGAACCGGCCGAGTGCCGCGTCCAGTGACGGCGGGAAATATCGCGAGAGTCGTGGCTTCCACCGGGCC